AGCTTTATATAGCAATAGAAAAAAAAACAAGATCCATAGTAAGCTAGTTGTGTTGTCTGATCCATGGATTAATCAGAGTTCTCTGCTGCAGTGGGCTCTCTGGGGAATAGTGATTATCTCCCAGGCTTCCCTGGGAAGTGTCAGCATGGACCACACACTAAAGGCAGCAGAAGTAGATCCCTGGAGATGCTCTGGGCTCCACTTCCCTCCCTGTGGTTAAATATGGGGTTCTGAAAGCTTCCACTGATACTATCTTGGTTTCCTTGCATCTTTAGTACTACTTTTTTATAAACTGTTTCTGATTGTTTTTATAGTACCAGTTGAACACAATGTGGTATTCAACCCCATTCCTTCCCACCACCACCCTCTAAACAAAAAGCACAAATGGAAAATTTTTAAATTGTAGAGGGGTAACTTTTAAATGTCCGAAATCTTAATTATTCTTGTAGCTTTTCATGATGTTTGTTCTCCAACGCAAGCTGCAAAATAAATAAATAAAATTTAAAATCATGAATCCACTTGACTTTTGCTAATAGATCTTTTGGATGAGATCTTTGCTTGATATCTGTATATTTCTTTAGCTTCTCCTTGAGAAACAGAGCTTACCCTGAACTAAGTCCCAGTTAAATGCTTTTGTTTTGACAATTGTCTAGAAAGAATCCTAACATAGTGCTTGGGCTTTAGACAGACCTGGTTGTTTCAACTCTTTTACTAGCTACATGACTTTGATGAAGTTACTTAATCTCTTTGAGTTTTTTTTTTTTTCATTTCCTCATCTATGAGATTATTGTGAGAACTGAGCGAGACCATGTGTGAATGGTAAATGAACTGATGTATATACAGTGCCTGGCAAGACATATGCATGGTAGATGTCTTGGTGGTAGATCATAACATGGGTTTCTTTGTCGATTTGAGTTAGAACTCAACCCTTAAGTCATCTGGGATGACTGAGGGCAAACATCAACCTTTGAAGTAATGGCTGGACAGAATCACTACTAACTGTATTTTGCACATTTCTAAAAATAAAGGTAATATCAACTTTTATTGTTTGTTAGCACATTAAATCATTTTCTTACTTCACTAACCTAGCTTAAATTTAAAATCATGAGGGGCTAGAGTTGTGGCTCAGTGGTAGAGCACTTGCCTGGCACATATCAGGCACTAGGTTCAATCATTAGCACCACATAAAAATAAATAAATAAAACTTAAAATCATGAATCCACTTGACTTTTGCTAATACTTTTTTAAAAATATATTTATTTTTTAGTTGTAGTTGGACACAATACCTTCATTTTATTCATTCATTTTTATGTGGTGCTGAGGATCGAATTCAGGGCTGCACACGTGCAAGGCAAGTGCTGTACCGCTGAGCCACAATCCCAGCCCCTAATACTTTTTTTAACTTGACCAATGGAGCCAGATATCTTCACATATATTCCAAATGTGGCCACGTACTGTCTTCACCAGTGGTTATCAAGAGGAATTAAATGGGGTACAGGCAAACTAACCAGTGGGAACATGAAGAAATCCCACATCCCATGCTTTGTCCTGCTTCAGAGCTGCTTTGTAGCCAACAACAGAGTATGTCTCCACCTCCTTTTATGGTCTTCTTCTATGAGTGGAAAACTGTAATGTTTAGATAATTATTTATAAGCTATTTTGAGATAAAAATATGCAGTGGTGCCAACATGGAATGCAGTAGTCATTTCTGTGGAAGAGCTTCATGTTGACTGGGGACATCAAGCCCTGTTCAGTTCTGTGTTTACCCAGTGCATTCTACTCCAAGTCTTGCTGCAAAGCTTGGGAAAAGAACATGAAGTATAGACTTAATAGCACCTGTCCTGGCCTCACCCTATGAGCTCATTGACAGTCACCTAGGATGCTCATTGTTTAGAAGGATCAAATCTTTAATATCAAAAGGAAAAAGAACCTCTCAAGGTAAAAGATAATGAGGAAAACATAACTAGAGCAGTCAAATATAAAGGCAGTTCATATTAGAGCTTTCTACTGCTTTTCCATTGTTTATTTCTATTTTTCCCCCAGTAAAAATTCTTCTTTTTCCTGCAGGGTATGGTGGCAGACACTTTTATTCCCAGCTACTTAGGAGGCTGAGACAGGAAAATCACTTGTTCCAAGAAGTCCAAGGTTAGCCTAGGCAACATAACAAGACCTGACTTAAAAGAAAACAAAAAGAGAGAATTTCCTTTTCCTGTCTGGAGCTGGCTGTGAAGCCTGCATAGGCTCTTGGTGTCTCTGGGCTTTTTTTTTCCTTGCCCTACTTCCACAAAGGTTTTGGGGATTGAACCCAGGGCCTCACCACTAAGCTACACCCCAGCCCTGGGTCCTGTTTTCTCCTCTGTGAAATGAAGATGGAGCTCCTTTCCTTCTTTTCTATGGTTCTGTGCTTACACATATCCAAAGGTCTTAGAATCTCAGTAACTGCTGACCTGAAGAAACATTAGGACAGAACAGAGTCCTTTGAGCTTCCCAGGGCTGGGGAATCATCCACATACAATAGGATTCTTTTAAACAAGTTCTCTCGGTATTGAATTTTTCCTTTCCCCAAGAGCTCTATAAAAATAGTGTTTTCTTGCCAGAGACATCAAGGCTCAGAACTACTGGCCTCCTCCTGTGAACAGTCTATGGTTTGTTTTTGGTTTGGGATCTTTTTTAACAGACAGTCCAGCTCCACTGAGAGGCTGACTCAGCAGTACTTCTCCAGCACGTTCCTGCTCTTGTCAGGATCCCAGTGCCCGGTCCCTGCCAGCTGGGGCAGGCCGGGAACCAATGATACCCTTTTCCCCCCCCCCCCCCCCGTGTGTCCCAAGGGGAAAGAGACCCTGCAGTGGTGCTTCTTTTTTCCAGACATGTCTCCTAATTCTCCTTAGGGTGTCAGAACTTGAGCTCATTTTTGTTCATGGCCAAAGACTATCTCTCTCATGATACTCATCTCCCCAAAACCTATCAACCACATAGTCCCCGAGGCTCTTTCCTTCCTTGTTCCGCATATCACTGACTTATCCTCTGATCTGCCTTTAGTGTTTGCCAGAGATCCTCTTTCCCTTTATTGAAATCCCATCATAATCCCAAAGGCTTTAGGAATGTAAGATTCTGTATGCACACCTTTAAAATGTTTTTATTGTGGAAAATTTCAGATGTATTCAAAAGTAAAGAAAACAATATAGTGAACCCCGTGTACCTGTCACCCAGCTTCACTAATCATGTTTCATCTGCACCTGCAGCCCCCTCCCCTGGCCCCAGATTGCTTTGTGTGTTTTATTTTTATTTAGTTTTTAGGACATGGATATCTTTAAGGGCCATTATTCAGCTGGCCATGGCATGTGGTGGAGGAGCCAGAGAACAGAGTCCTCAATCAAGTGGTTTTTATCTTTGTGATCTAGGACCATGTTAGTTCAACAACAACCAGAACTGAGTTTGAGTCCCCTAGGCCAGTCTTTTGACTGGGCTGCACCCAAGGGTCAGGTGGGTGGGGCAGCCATTGGAGGGAGAAAAAGAAGCATTATGTCAAGAAATGTCAGGCAAAATTCCTAAATTTTATCAGGACATGGTGACATATACCTGTGATCCCAGCAACCTGGGAGACTGAAGCAGGAGAATCATAAATTCAATCATAAATTAAAATCATAAATTTTACTAATTTGGCAACTTAATAAGACCCTCTCTCAAAATAAAAAAGAAAAAGGGCTGAGGATGTAACTCAGTGGCAAAGTGTCCCTGGTTTAAATCCATACCATCCCAGCCCCCCACACACACACAGTAAAAAAATTCCTAAATTTTTAAAATAAGCATATAGCATACACCATCCCTTTCTTCCTATTACCAAAGATATGGTTAAGAGGAAATTAACTTTTTTGGAAGGCAGTCACATTCAGTTACTAGACTTGTCTCACCCTGAGGAGGTGAGGGAGGTTGAGCTGATTTTGGAGGCGACTCCTCCAGTGCTTGACAATCGGATGACACAACCATAGTGAATGTGGAATGTCTGCTGAATACCTTGACTAATGAACCATTGTTAGGTGGCCTTTGCAACAAAAGACACACTGATGTTAGGTTGCAGAGGGTCTGGGAAGCCTAAAATGATACAGGTGGTTCCAGAGCCAGAGGATGTGGCCTGAGTCTGCAGATTGGACTGGAATAGGGACACAATAACCTGAAGAAATATAATCAGAGGTGAGGCACTGTCATAGTCAGCTTTTCATTGCTGTATCAGAATACCTGAGAAAATCAACTTAAAGGAGGGAAGATTTATTTTGGCTCCTGGTTTCAGTTCATGATTGACCAGCTCCATTGTTTCTGGGCCTGTGTGAGGCACAACATCATGGTACAAGCAGCTGGTGGAGCAAAGCTGCTCACCTCATTGTGGCCAGGAAGCAAAGAGAGAGCAACCCCAGGTTATTTTGAAGTAAATATCACATGTTGTAGCAACTTTAGTGTTCTTTTTAAAGAATCCCAAACTCCTCCCAATTTACTCATGGGAAAGGTATAAGTTAATCCTCTTTCAGATTTGACTGCATTAGCACTGCCACCTATGATACCTCATGCCACATCTACTTGGAAGTAGATGTCTCTCCCCTTTTTTCCCACAGTCCTGATTGGTGGAACAGTTGACAGAGAACAGGTTACTGTGTCCCTGTTCCAGTCCAATCGGCTCTCCTAATGAGGTTCCTCTTACAAGAAAGCAATTTAGATGGGAAAGGAAGGCTATTTGAAGCATGCTGGGGACCACTAGAAGAAAAGTGCCTGAGTCCCATTTCCCTATCAAGGATAAGGTGGACCTGCTTGTCTTTACTCATGATTAGTCTCTATGTTATAGACTGAGAAAAAAATTCCCCAAGACAAAGGGGGCCAATTCCTGTGATAATAAAGACCGAATTTCCACTCTGTCTCTTCCTTTTCCTATTAACAGGTAACACTCTTTTTTTTTTTTTTTTTCCTCTCTGAAGGGTCTAAAGCCTGGTCTTGTCCTGTCTCTATTTCAGATGCAGTGGCAGAATGTGGAACATGTTGGTGACCAGAGCCCCTATGTCACTTCTGTCATTCTTCACATTAAGCAGAATGTCCCCATCATCCGTGACAACCTGGCTTCCACACGGAAATACTTCACTCAATTCTGCATCAAATTTGCAAAGTAAGTCCTGGAGCATTCTCATCACTGAGTTGTTCTTATTGTTTTGCTTTGTTTTTTTTTTATTTTTTAAATAAAATTTTAAAAATTTTAAATAGACTTTACATTTCAGAGCAGTTTTAGGTTCATAGCACAATTGAGCAGATTTCCCATGTACCCCTTGGCCCACACGCATACTGTCCTCCAATATCAACATCCCCTCAGAGGGATACATTTGCTGGGGTTGATGAACCTATACTGATGCATTATCACCCAAAATATATGGTTTCCTTGGGTTCATTCTTGGTGTTTGTACTGTCTATGGGTCTGGACAGATATCTAATGATGTGTACCCACTGCTATAGTATGATACTCAATGGGGTTCTTTTAGTGCCATACAAACCACCCAACATGCTCACAATCCTGGTGTCCCTACCATCCAACTGTGATTCATTCTGGTACCTGCAGGCAAATTGATATTAATCTGTATCCACAGGGATCATAATAATAAAACCAAGTCTGCTACTTAAGTTTATATATACAGTAGCAGTAATACAATCATCAGCCACATCAAGGCAAACAAAAATGAGTTGGGAGACCCTGTTATTTTGAACTGTGTGGACATAACCACCCCTTGCCCAAGTGATCACATGTGCTTTTTGTCTCATATAAATTTTTTAAGGGTAGGAACTACCTGTTCTGTTTCTTTTGAGCCTTCTCTTTCTTCTCCCCCATAGTATTTATTACTGTAGCTACTAAGACTTATCCACTTTTGGATGTCCTTGTGTCTAAGGAAGGTACTAGAAATTGGGAAGAGCAAGTCAGGGAACTCCTTAGCCAAGGTAGATGGAATGAACAGTAAGCTACGTGTGTTCCTGTCACATCCCTGTGTGTGGCCATTTCTGGCTTGAGTTTTGAAGCAAGAAAATAGTTTGGTCCTTTGCCAATCAACATCTGGCTGTAGCACTGTCTCCTGTGAGACCAGGCAGTGCACAGGGCCAGTGTCTCCTCTGACCAAATATCAAACAAACATTCTGGCAAACTTCTCAGGGAAGGGCTTCAGAAAGGTCAGCCCTGTCCAAGCTACTGTATTTGGATTGTTCTCATCTAGGTCCCAACTGGTGGTTCAGGACTCCAAGTTTATGTCTTCCCCAGATCTCTCCCAGTGTGTATTCAATTAAGGCTTTCCCTCTCTGACACAAATAAATCCCTAAGGAGCAACAATAATGGAGTGGCTTGTAGAGTTAACTTTAATTTCTACCTTGTCAAGAAAGGATCGAGTGGACTCTCCAGGGAAGCATTAATGTTTGCAGTATGACAGGTGGACTAGGAGTTGACGTTCCCTTCACTCTCTGGATGCTCATTAATGTGCATTAAAAGTATTGCTGATTTATCACATTGTGACACTCCCCATAAGTACTGGTAGAAGTTTCTCTGTAAAAATTTACTGCAACTAGAAATCTCCTTCATGGTCACCCAGAGGTCTGATTGAGCTTACATTAGATAAATAAGGAGTCAGTTGCTTAGCTAGCCCAAGCAGAGGCCTCACATTCTCTCAAAGCCCTCAGAGCCCTTTAGTGTTATTACTAAGCTCATATTGAGTGAACCGGGAATAGGATGCCCATCTCACACATCTGGAAAAGCTCAGCCTGTGATCTAGGCTATATTTCTGTTTTAATCCATGGTACCTTCCATTCTGGTAAACCCTAACCTTACTGTAGAAACCTCAGTTTTAGGATTGTGAAGGGACCTTTCCCCAGCCAAAGGCAATAGCCACCATCATCTGTATGGCATGGAGAAGCAGTTAAACTTGGAGTCCTGAACCACCAGTTGGGACCTAGATGAGAACAATACAAATACAATTACCCATCACGTTGCTGGGACCTCTTCCCCAAAGACATGTGTTGAGTCTCTGTTTCTCCAGTCCAAGCCCTGTAGACTAGTGCATAGAGCCAGTTCAAGGACACAGCCACAACTTACTCTAGTGGGAAGTAACAAGTTATACACTGTATATACGGTTGTGATTAGTCATAAATTCAACCTCATGTTGCTTGTTTGGCTCTGGTTTACAGCACTTCCAATTCCTTCTAAATAGTTCCTGTTCATACCCATCCTGACCTGTTAGGCCTTTCCCCAGGTCTGACCCCTGGACTTCAAATTTCTTTCCCCTAACTCCCTTTGCTACCCACCAACGCAAAACCATCAATAGATCCTTTGTCTCCATTTGGTATCTATAGGGACAGTCATTCCTGTTTAGACATCATAGTCACTCCCTGGTTGAAACCACAGTTTGAATCACAGGTGACTTTCCTCCTCCTAAGCTGATTCTCCTCATAGATAAAAAGACAAATCCCTTTTTAAAAATTTTTTACTTGTTCTTTTTAGTTAAACATGACAATAGAATGTATTTTGACATATTATACATACAGGAGTATAACTTCCCATTCTTGTGAAGACAAATCTTTTAATAGTGGTTGGGAACAGTTTTGATCAGTCATGAATTCAACCTCACATTAACTTGTTTGACTCTAGTTTATAAGACTTCCAGTCCCTCCCGAATAGTCCCCAGTAAACTTCCTGGCAAAGTGCTGGTACCGAACTGACATTCAAAAAGTGGTCGCTGCTGGGCTGGGATTGTGGCTCAGCGGTAAAGCGCTTGCCTAGCGCAGCCAGGACCCGGGTTCGATCCTCAGCACCTCATAAAAATAAAGGCCTTGAGTTGTGTCCATTTACACCTAAAAAAAAAAAAAAAGTCACTGCTACCGTTATTAAAACATTTATTATTTATTCAGTGTGCATTTACTTGAGCATTTCCTTTGTCCTAGATACTGGGTTAAGTGATCTGACTTAACAGATACTACCCCTGCCTCCACTTGCCTTAACAGTCAAGGGAATAGACATATAAACAAATAAGTGTAATAAAGTAGGTGAGATATTAGAGGCCTGAGGACTCTGAGAATATGATGGAGGTGACTGAGAAAAGGCTCCATAGAAGAGACATCCTTGAGCAAGGTCAGAGGGTTGTGTGAGTGCTGACCTCAAGGTTCACAAAGAGCATTCCATGCAGAGGGGACAGTGTAAGCAAAGGCACAAAGGTATTAGCGGCCCCAGGAATTGTAAGATCTACAAATAGTTCAACCAGGTTGAAGCATGAGGTGCCAGGGTTCAGCATGATGTGGCTGGGGACAGAAAATCCAGAATTAAGGTTGTGACCAGGCACTGTGGTAGTGCCTGTAGTCCCAGCTACTCAAGGCATTGAGGCAAGAGGATCAGTTAAGCCCAGGAATTGGAGTCTGGCCTAGGCAACATGGAAAGACCCTGTCTCAAAAAAAAAAAAAAAAAAACCTGAATCAAGGAATGTCTTGTTTGCAGCCATTGTAAGAGTTTTGGTAGCAGGTGACTTAAAAAGATGAGGATGAAGGCAGGGAGACCAGGTGGGAAATAATTGGAAGAGCTCGGGACTCAGGAGGTTGAGGTAGGAAGGTGGCAAGTTTGAGGCCAGCCTCAGCAACTTAGTGAGACTCTGTCTCAAAATAAAAAATATAATAATAATAATAATAATAAAGTCTGGGGACATAACTCAGAGGTAAAGTTCCCCTGGGTTCAATCCCCAGCACCAAAAAAGAAAGAAAAAGAAGGAATGAAAGAAGGAAGGAAGGATGGAAGGAAGAGCTCCGTTGCTCAGATGACAGGACAGTTGGGAAGGAGATCAGCAGGGGTGAATCTGGGAGTTCAGGGGAAGAATTGGTAACTGATTGGATGTTGGGGTTGAGGTGGGAAATAGTTTGGGGAACTCTCAGTTCCTGACTTGGCAACCAGGTGGAGTCACCAACTCAATGCAGTCACTGAGCCTAGAGGCCAGTGTGAGGCTAGTCTGGAGGAGGCTAGTCATCGAATTAAGATGTCCAGGAAGTCATTAGCTGTTAGAGTGAGTACAGTGTAAGGAAAAGATGCAGAGAGACTGAAGACAAAGGAGGGCACAGGCCTGGGAGCAGCTTTGGAAGAATGAGGAGATAGGTACTAGCCAGCCTTTATCTTTACCTACAAATCCTGCTTTATTTCCAGCCTTCCTTTTGTGGTCCAGAGTCCTATGACACTTCCTGGTCACCTCACTTTGGATCTTGTCTTGATTATAGGCATGTATATTCTACTCTTAAATCTATTAGGTATACCTGGCCTGGGATTCTGGGAAAACTACATTGGTGGATTTTTGTTTTTTTGTTTTTGTTTGTTTTGTGTGTGTGTGTGTGTGTGTGTGTGTGTGTGTGTGTGTGTGTTTTGCTGGGGGTGGAACCCAGGTCCTTGCACATGCTGGCAAGCACTTTACCAGTGAGTTACATTCTAGCCCTCACATATGTTCCACTCTTAAATCTGTTAGGGTGTTTATACCTACTAGTTACAGAAGCCCTAATTCAAACTGGTTTAAATGGTAGGTGAGTTTTTTATTTCATCTAACTACAAGTCCCTGAGGTAGGACAGATCTGAGAGGTGGTTTATTTCTGCTATCTTTGGATCTGGCATCATCTTCAGAATGGTGGTAGACTGGAAGCTATAGACATCACATCCAAATGCAACAGTGCCCCTCCACCTTGCAGTAAGGTCCTTCCTCCTCCCAGGACACACAACAATCACCAAGAGAATGCCATGCTCTGACTGGCTGAGGCTAATTAGAATCCTCCATAGGAGGATTTATGGGGTATAGCTTAGTATCCCCAGCACCACTCACATACACACAAAAATCACCAATATAGTTTAAGATCAAGTTTTTCTAGACCCTAAATAAAACCAGGGTCTAGGTGAGAAATAAAAGGAAGGCAGGGGATGCTGATAGGTAGCAATAGTATCTACCTTGATTCTCAGTTTTCTTATGGAAGGGTAAACTTTGAAGAAAGTTTCTGCATTTCTTTACTGGAGAGAGCATATGCCTAATTTATCACTTCTTTTTTTCTTCCACAGCTCCTTCATTCCTAAATTCATCACCCACCTCTTCAAGTGCAAGCCAATTAGCATGGTGGGAGCAGAACAGGTGAGGTGAACTTTATATTGGACTGTTTCTTAGAGCTTTTGTCATGGATCCAGCACATATCTTAGGACAGATCTACTCTGGAGAAATAAAATGACTGAAAGTGTTTTTGGAGTGTGAAAGGGTCATGGCTCTAGATTAAATAGTCAGAGAAGGTTTCTCCAAGGACTGATGCTTGAGAAAACACTTCAAGCAGAGGGAGCAGCAAAGCTTCTGATTGGTTTGAACCCACAGTGACTGGACTAAGACCCTTATGAGAGAGAGGCTTATCTGTTTGATACTGAGCAACTCAGATCACCTCCCCTAAGAAACTTCATGATTAGCTTCCCCCTGCTTGCTTGAATTTTATACAAACTAAGGCTCCTCTTAGTTTGTCCCCTTGGCACTGATGGATTGGCTTATGTGCTACAGCACAGCTACCTCTTTTCAGCTGCTACCTAGTCAGACCATCTGAAATAGGCAATTTGAGTTCAATAAGCAGTTTAAGCTGCTTTTAAAAGAAAAACCAAAAAATCAGAAAGAGCTGGGGATGGGCTAGGGATATGGTTCAATCGTAGAGGCATATGTGTGGCCATAGGCTCCTCCCCAGCACCACAAAGGGTGGTAAAGCATTCCTGGGTTTAATCTCCAACACTACAAAAAGAAATGAAAAGAAAAACAATAATATTCGTATTCAATCCCTACTTTGTTTTTGGGTTTTGTTTTGTTTTGTTTTGTTTTTTGGTACTGAAGATCAGACTCAGAGGTGCTTTACGCCTGAGCTACATGCCTAGCTCTTTTTATTTTTTATTTCAAAATGGGATCTTGCTAAATTACTGAGGCTGACCTCGAACTTGAGATCCTCCTGCTTCAGACTCCTGAGTCGATTATGGGTGTGTTCCACTGTGCCTAGCTTCTACCCCTAATTCTTTCAAAATACCACTTAAATGCAAAGTATGCATGTACTAATCAAAAATGATTCACATATTCAATAAAATAAATCCTCTCTAGACATTTTATCTGTAAACTCTTAAGAAAACATGTAAGAAGATTGTATAATTCGAGATACTTTTGTAAACCCTGTCCTTCCACCAAATTCATCAAGAGTGGCAGAGGATCCATCTCTCACAGCTCACTGCTGTGTTGGTCCTAGTCATGCCTCTCAGTTAGAGGGCAGATTAACATGTGCCATTGGGCATTGTGTTCTCTCATGAGATTCAAAGCCAGGTGTAAGATCTGTGTATGACAAGATCTCTTGAATCAGATAAGTGCAGAGTGAGCTAGCATCAGTCCAGGTTATAAAGTGGCAATATGGTATGAGCATTCACGTTGGTAGTGCTAGAATCCCAAAGGTCAGAAGCTGAAACTTGTTTCTGCAACACAGCAACCATTAGTCCTTAGGCAGATATTTAACCTGGCATCACTTCACTTTCCTCAACTATAAAATAGATGTAACCAGTGCCACCTGTTATGAGGATTCACCAACACGATGCACATGGCGTGCTTGGGACCAGTTCTGGCACATGGTCAGGCCACACTAAATGCCAGCTCTTAGTGAGGTTAAGCTTCCTCAGACCAGGGACATGACCTTGTCTCTGTTTTTATTGCCCATCTTCCCTAATAACTCTTCCACATGCAGCCTATGTAGAAATATTCATTGCTTGCCACAGGCACTCTGTCTGACCAGCTTTAGCCAGAGTCAAAAGTGTTGTCTCAGAAAGCTTCCTGGGAGGTTGTGCAGATTCAGACACTGACTGGGCCTGACTGCAGCAGTTCAGCACTCTGAAATTCTTGACCCCTGCATGTCTTAAGCATAGAGCTCATTCTCTCTGTCGGAAGCAGCAAGCAGCGGGATGATGCCCTGACATGCTGTCTACAGTTTCTTCTTCTTTTTTTTTATACTTAAGTCATTTTTTAAATTTTTGTTTTAATTTCTTGATTTAAACTATATTATTTATTTTTTTATTTGTTTTAATTAGTTACACATGACAGTACAATATTCAAATGTATGATATGTCAAGGTCACTATACTATCATGTCTGCAGTTTCATTAGCATGTGTTTACCAGCAATTCATTCTCTTCACCTTGTCATTGTATGTGATCAGAAAGGATACAGAGTGATTAAGATCTGTGTGTCTGGGAGAAGCTATAGAGTTCTGGGTGACTGTGTTTCTGTCTACAGACTTGGTGAAGCCTCTAGACACAGAACTGATCAGAGGAAAGGTGTTCTGAGTTTATAGCTTTGCTCAGGCCTTGCAGCTGGGTTAATATCTCATAACCATGATATTTTCACATTATCACACAAATTCAATATTGTATCAATTTTTCTTAGACTTTCTCTTCTTTAAAAGAACATTAGAATAATCAGCTCAGATCCAAAGCTAGTGTCTACAGAAAAGTATCATTTTGGCCAGTGTTTACTTCTTTCTGCTCTGAGATATGGATGAGAAAACCATCTGCTAAAACTAGAGTTTTACTTCAGCAGACCCCAGGCAAATACAAAGTAGAATCTTCACAGGTCTAGCCTGAGAGACTACAAGAGCAGTGTAGCCCTTGAAGGATTCCCATATGAAGTTCAGATATTACTGGGTATATGCCTGCCCTGAGTATCGGGCTTTAAAGGCCAAGCTGTCATGTTGGTGGAGCCTGGTTCACTCGGGGGCAGCAGGATCATAGGAATCTAGAAGTGAACAAAGAGATGTTCATGGACCGAAACAGTTTCTGCCTCAAGTCGTGGAGTGGCTGAAATCCAAGCTTTAACAAAAGCTGTAAGATTCAAAGCTAAGATTTAGCCTAATCTCAGCTGTGTCTGCTTTGCCACAAAGGTACTAGCTCCTAAATTTAGGTTATCCTTCATTATTAATACCAAAAATGGAGAAGGAAATGTTTTTTGTTTTTTATTCATGTCCTGAGTACTACATAAAGTGAATTATTTATTTTTGGGCCCCAGAGTTCTCTTGAGCAAAATTGAAAGGGCACATGGAATTGAACCATACTGGTATTTATAATGCCTCTTTCTAGTTTGTAATTTTCAGAGAATCTTGTGGGATTTGCAGGGTCATTAATTAGTTTTACGACCGTGGCCATCTATAACTGAACACACAGCAGAAATGGAATGCCTGAGCTAGGATAGAGAAAGCACCAAGTATGATATAGGGGGAAAAAGACAGGGGGTCCAGTCCTCTCTCTCTTGTTAAAGGTCCCTGTGGTCTCAAACAGTTGCTTTCCTGCTCTGAGCTCTGTTTCTTCCTGTTTAAATAAGAACACTGAACCAGGTGCTCTCAAAAGCCCCTTCTAGATCTATCATATTGTGTAGTCTAAAATACTCTGAGCAGTATACTTTGTGTCTATAAAGTTATTTTCTTTTCCTTTGTATTATCTTTAGATACCATATTGACTTTTTAAAATTTGTGATATGTAACATAAAATTTACCATTTGGGGCTGGGATTGTGGCTCAGTGGTAAAGTGCTCACCTAGCACATGTGAGGTCCTGGGTTCGATCCTCAGCACCACATAAAAGTAAAATAAAGATATTGTGTCCAACTTTAAAAAAAGAAGAAGAATTAAAAAATTTACCACCAAGCTATTCCCCAGCCTTTTTTTATTTTTATTTTTTATTTTTTATTTTTAAGACAGGGTCTCATTCAGTGGCTTAGGGCCTCTCTAAATTGATCCTCCTGCCTCAGCGTCCTGAGTCACTGGGATTACAGTCATGTGTCACCTGCCCAACTCATGTTAACCATTTTTAAGTATCTGCTTAGTGTCTAGAAGTTTATATACATTTCTGTGCATCGATCTCCACCATCACCTCTGGACCTTTTTCCTCTTTCCCAACTGAATCTCTGTACCCATTCACTATCTAGTCCCCATTCTCTCCTGTCTCCAGCCCTGGAGTCACATCCTACTTTCTGTCTCTATAAATTGACTACTTTAAGTATTTCATACAGGTGGAATCATACAGTATTTGTCTTTTTCTGTCTGGCTGGTTTTAATTTCTTCCCAGTTCTTCTACATGTGTCAAAAATTTCTTCCTTAAGGCCAAGTAATATTTCATTACATGTATATGCCATATTTTGACCATATTGACTTTTTAAACTCACCTAATTCAAAGCCATCCAAACAAAAAAAATGTGTAAAGCAAATATAAAGATTTTTTTTAAAGTACAAGCACCACAGAGAGGGAAAAAGAAAGTCAGATTTATATTTAGCATAGCAGTTGGAAAAATGAGAAAGTGGGATGGTTATTCTCTGGCACACTTCTTCTAGGTAAATGCCGAAAAGGTGGCTGGGTGTTTTAAGTAATCCTTAAAAACAAAATGGAGCTGAACACTATGGCACATGCCTATAATCCCAGAATCTTGGGAGGCTGAGACAGCCTAGGAAGTGTGAGTTTTATCCCCAGCATTGCCAAAAAAGCGGGGCAGGGTGATAATCTACCAGTAGAAAAGTGACAAAAGACCTTGAATTGACACTTCAAAAGAGAGGGAAAAAAAAGATATCCAGAAAGCACCTTAATCATCAGGGAAATGCAATTTAAAATCACAATGACATCTGAATGGCTAAATTTTTAAAAAGATTGACAAAACCAAGTGTTGATTAGGATGTAAAGCAATTGGAACTTGGATGTGTGCTGGCAGGAATGACAACTGGCATAACCACATTGGAACACTAGCTGGCAGTCTCTGCTGTAGCTAACATGCCTGCCCATGATCCAGCAGTTCTCTTGAGTACTTTCCATGCTGGAGAAATGAGGGCTTGTGACCACCAAAAATACATACAAGAATGTGCATAGTAGGTTGATGGGTCATAAACTAATCTATGGTGATTGAGGGCAAAAGAGTGGTTCCCTTTGTTGGGAGCAAAGAGACCATTGACCAAAAAAAGAATGAAGGAGGCTTCAGGGAGGCCAGAAATGTCCTGTGTCTTCTAACAGGCAATAGGGTATGGTACACATGTAAAAGCTTCCTGAGCTGTATGCTTGGTATTTGTGTACTTAAAGTTTAATTAAGAAAGGTGATTGGC